CTGCTGTGTTCTAACACAGAGAGAGGGAAAAATGGAAACCTCATCCTTTATTAGAGACCCACTCTCGGGGACAACCACCTCCCTCCGAAACTGCATTACTTGACCTGAAAGCTCCACCTCAGCACCCTTGCACTGAAGGTTGTTTCCGAAACAGGAACTTTGGAGACACATTCGAGACAGCAATGTTCAATAACAGTAAGAAGCTCTTTCCTGGGCTCAGACACAAATGTTTTAATATGGTCCCGGCTTCCAGCCTTCATTTGAAACTGTAATCATTTGTTTGAGCTGTCAATGCAAATATTATTAAATTTGCTGATAGTATCCTTCACGACCAAGCAAGAATTACCCTTTTCAATCCTCTATATGTAATTTATCCTCCACTACAAGAATCTTGCCATACATTCTAAAGTTAGTGACAGAAGTTAAATCTCTAAAGAAGCAATGCAAAAAAGGAAACAGTGATGCATTCTACACAGGAAAAAATAGCAAATAAAATAAAATTATACACACACAAATTAGAAGAGTTAAGGTAGCTTGAGCCCTCTAGTTCTCAGATGATTTCACTACCTACCGTAGCACTGGGTTATGACTGTGTTTGTTAAAGGATCATGAATGCTCAGGCACTAAAGGTAATTCCACAGGACAATACATTGTACTCAAAGTTGTCAGCTTAACCAGAGTACCTGGCTAGTTACCTGTATTTCATCTTCGACATCTTTTAGAACTCATAAGCTCAACATAACGATAGTCCCTAAAAATACTCAGATGTTTACTTGGCATGGCATAATTCAATCTCTATAACCCAAATTCATTATAAATTACCTTTTCCTTTTTTATAGTAAAGCATTCACTTGGGCTGTTTAGGCAGTAGAATTTTAAAGTAGCCCATAAATGAGCTATTGGCTTTGGGTAGAGCCAGCCGTAACAACATGTTCAAGCAAGGAAATGAACAAAAGAACCTTTGGAATGCACCTGGTGGTTCAAAAATAGCAGGTGGTTGTTAAAAAAAAAAAAGACCCTAAGGAATTCAAATTTTTCTTGAAGGATTTTGTTGCTAGTCTTCCTACAAAAATTATTCAGGGTACTTCTTGACCTCCACCTTGACACCGAAAGAAGTCTTGCCTTATATTAATTCAGGAATTCTAGAGCTCCCAGGTTTTATCTGAACAGTTTTTCCTAAACAGTCTAATTCCTGTGTTACTTTAAGTTCCATTTCGTGTGTGTGTGTGTGTGTGTGTGTGTACAGTCCTGGAGCAAATGGACAGCCTTTCTCAAGCTAGGCAAGCAAGCACTCTACCGCGGAGCCACACACCCCCCCCCCTACAATATATATTTTTACATGCATTTTCAAGAGAAAACGTTCAAGCTATGTTTTTCTACTTTATATTGATATATCTCCTTTAAGCCCTAATTAACATTTAAGAATATTATTATGCTGTGCAATTTTCAGAGGCATACTTTCAAAGTATTTTTGGAGGATCTGTTGTAAGCCAAGTAAGTATTTGAGACAACCCAAAACAAATACAAATGTTCTTCAAAAAGAACAATGTAGAAGTGTATGCGTATGGTCCAGTTT